ATATCAATATATGTTTTATTTCGGCCCAAAGCCCAACAACAATTTATTTTAATCAAAACAAATTTGATTAATTGAATAATTATTCATTAATAATTCTAGGGTATATTTTGGGGCGTTACAATATCAGAAAAGTTCCTGCACAAAGCCTTGTTAGTAGCACCGAATATGATATCATCTACGTAAACTTGAACCAAAAGGATGTCTTGGTTATCATTCTTGATGAAAAGGGTAGTATCGAATTGACCCCGTTTGAACTCATGATCCAAAAGAAATTTGCTTAAGCGTTCATACCAAGCACGAGGTTCTTTTTTGAGACTGTAAAGTGCCTTTTTGAGTTCGAAGGCATGTTCCAGAAACTCATAGTCTTTGAAACTCGATGGTTGTTCGACATACACTTCTTCTTGAATGATATCATTAAGGAAGACACTTTTAACATCCATTTGATATGAATCACTCAATACTTACATATATGTGAATGTTCCTGGAGGCCTAAAATTTCCCGAGGTTTATAGGTTAATACCTCGAGAGATATTTTCTGTAAAATTGGAAAAGTCATTACATAAAGTAAAACAATCTTGTTGAATATGGTATAATCATCTCAGTGAATATTTGTTCAGAGAAGGGTACAAAAATGATTTAATAAGTCTATGTGTTTTCATCCGACGGTCCAAATCAGACTTTTCCATAATTGCAATATATGTTGATGATTTAAACATCATTACTGAAACTTCCAGAGAAATAGAAAACACTATAAAATATCTCATGAAAGAATTTGAGATGAAAGATTTTAGAAGAATAAAATTTTGTTTGGGTCTTCAAACTGATCATTTGAAAGATGGAATATTCATACATAGTCAAATTACACGAAGAAGGTTCTGAAGCAGTTTTACATGGATAAAGAACATCCTCTTACATCTCCGATGGTTGTCTACTCTCTCAATGTTCATGATGATCCTTTCTGACCCCGTGAAGATGATGAAGAAATACTTGGTCCAGATGTAACGCCCTCAAACCGGCCTAGTTTTAAATAAATAAATATTATTGAGACTCATTAGTTTTTAAACTAATAAATATTGAGATTTTCGATTCGTTCAAATGATTTCCAAAGCTCATGTATTTTAATCATAAAAGATGTTTTAATAATGAGTCTCTCGACATTAATTAAGTAAATTAATTAATTATTGGGATGGATCCGGAAGTTTGAAAATAAAGTTTTGAGAAAAATATTTTGAAGATATCATAAATTTAGTTTTGACTGTTTATTTCCGAAAACGCAATCGGTTTTCAATTCGGACAAGTTCGGGGGAAAAACCGCGTACCGTTCGGGTCAGATTTTACATAATGGAATAGAACTTATGGGAAGTAACTCCCCTTCCCTCTCCACACGCTACACACCCATTGATCTCCCTTAACTCCCCATTCAATTCCCCCATTAAACTCTCATTCATGTCCTCAATTTAAACCCTCTCTCCTCTCTTCACTTTCTCATCACATTTTGTAACTCCCTTACACTCTCATCACCTTCTCTCTCCCTTCTCTTGTTCGGCCAAGGCAGCAAGTAGACAGGGAGGACGGTTTCGGCGAGTAGACGAGGAAGAAGAAGAGAAGGAGGTGTCCACGAGAAACCATTAGTCGTTCAACGTTGTCAACCGTTCGTTCATCTCGTTCCATCGGTCCGTCAACCCCTTCATTTAGAGGTGAGTAGTTGTCCCCTCTAATTCTAGAACATTTAGTTATAATCTATGTCGTTATATTCATAGGAATATCGTATGCAACCTACGTAGAATCTATGCATGTTCGTAGGTTAGCCATCAAAACGTTCACTACGTAAAACGTATATATATTGGCCTAGGAATCACTAGGAATATATTCATCAATGTTTGTATTATTGTTCTAAAAAGAATCAAGGTGTTAAGTATTCAAAGTGGATCAAAACGTAGCTAAGGACAGAGGACTGTCTTCAAGATGGTCGACCGCCGCTACGGACGGTGGACCGTTCCCTCGGCCATTCCGACGGCCACCCCCGTGACGGTCGACCGCCGGCCGCGACGGTGGAACGTTTGAGACCCATACCCAGACCATAGCCCACGGTCGACCGCCGGTAGAGTACGGTCGACCGTTCCGCAGGCATGATTCTGGGCAGTTGTAGAACGAGCCCCGTTGACCAGATTGACTCAGAATCTGATTGTATGTTTGCATGAAATGTTAATCTTCCTTATGTATGCTATTTAATTGATATATTCTTGGCGTTGACCAAAGGTAAATATATCAAGCATCCATCATGTTCATCCTAGACGCATGTCCTAGGTTTTTCATCATGTGCATACCGCTGTAGGGAGGTCAGGCTTTTGTGCGCCTACTACAGTGGGCCCGTCCAGGAACCTTTGGGATCCAACAGGTTTTCATCAGGTGGGATCCGTGTACGTACATAGTAGTCAGGTTACGTCTACTACCCGGTTTTGCTAGTCCACTTGTTCCCGGCTCATTACCGTTTCGGTATTGACAACCGGAGTGCAGGGGTGATCCTGTCAAGTGAGACTAAGCCAAGGGTGTCCCTGATAGTTTAAGTCATGCGTCAAATCGTATCATCATCATGTATGTTCTACATCACATCAACATTCAATGTGGTAGCACCTCATTTTGTTATATGTAGTAGTACCCCAACAGGTGCAAACTAAATAGTTAGTAAACATGTGGTTTTCCGTATGTTAAGTACAGGTATTAATGTGTGTATAATCATATGGGTTATCACTTCATGTTCTTTTGTTAGATTCACTCCTCAGCTTTTGCTGAGCGTGTAGTTGTTTTTGCTACACGCAAGTAGTCATGACGGTACAGGTGCTAACCCTGGAGGACAGTGATGATGGGAGGATGGGCGGCGCACGGACGAGTTCAATATTTATATATATTTAATCAATTAATCATTTGGGCAAGAACCCACCATTTGTCGTTTTACTTGTTTTGGACTTATTTATTTACTTCCGCTTTACTCTGCATTTATAACACACACGTTTTAGGGATAACTCCCTAGCATTTATTTCACCAATTAAACAAAACCGTTTTCATAATAAATGAGCATTAATATTTTCCACTACGGACGGTTCTCGGACCGCCCATGTAACCCTACCGGTCCGTTGGGTCGCGGGTGAACCGGGTCCACAGAAGGCGGGTGTCACACCAGAAATACCATATCTGAATGCTATTGGAGCTTTGATGTATCTGGCATATAACACTCGACTAGATATTGCATTCCTAGTGAACTTGGTAGTCAGACATTGTTCAACCCCAACTAGGAGGCATTGGAATGGTATTTAGCACATTTTCCAATATCTTAATGGTACCATCGACCTTGGTCTATTCTACCCCAAAGATGCCAACGTCACTCTTGTTGGATACGCTGATGTAGGATATTTGTCTGATACACAAAAGGCAGAATCACAATCAGAATATGTGTTTACTTATGGACAGACTACAATTTCATGGAGATTGATGAAGCAAACTTTGAATGCCACATTATCAAATCACGCAGTGTTGATAGCTCTCTACGAAATAGGTAGAGATTGTGTATGGTTGCGATCAATGATATAACATATCCAGAGCGAGTGTGGTAAAAGTCACTTGCCACCCAACTCCTATATATAAAGGCAACATTGCATGCATTGCTCAAATTAAAGGAGGCTACATCAAATGAGACCGAACAAAGCATATATCACCAAAGTTCTTCTCAATACATGATCTTGAGAAAGATGGAAAAGTTGACATCAAGCAAATCAAGTCCAGTGAGAACCATACTGATATATTTACAAAAACGTTGCCCCCAAAGAAACTTGACGAACTTGTACACAAGATTGACATGTGTCGCCTCTGCCTATTATGCTATACTGAGGGAAAGAATTTTATCCACTGCACTCTTTTTCCCTTGATCAGGTTATATCCCATTGGGTTTTTCCTAGCAATGTTTTTAACGAGCCAATACATAAAATTAGGATGAGTTTCAAGACTACACCCATTTTACGAAGTACCCATCATTAATTAAAAATGAACATTCAAGGAGGAGTGTTATGAAATTAGTGAAATCATCATATTTCAATTAATTAGGCTAATTATTATAGAATGATAGATTAAGACATCCATTGTAGAGTAGTATTTTGTACCGTCATTTCCACTTGTAGAAGTATTTAAATAGAGGCTTAGTTCCTGCAATTAAGTAGAAGAAGAAAAGTGAAGAATTAATAGAGAGAAATATAAAAAATATATCATATTTATCTTCATAATCTCTGAGTATTTTTATTGCATTTTATTACATTAGGGTATTTTAGTGTAATTATAAATCTCAACATTCAAATTTAATATTTTGAAGTGTAAATACACGGCTTATTTTTACAATGTCATTTAAAAAAATTAAAATCATTTTTTATTTATATCGGATGAGGTTTAATCGAGTGTGGAATTGGACGTTCCAATCCAAACTCATTTTAAAAAGGGAGAAAAGCTAAAATAAAAATAAAACATATGAAAAAAATTAAAATAAGACTTTTATATTTTTATCCCTAAAATAAAACTTACAATGTTAATACTATCAACATATAATACCAAAAAGCACTGTAAATTACAATATACAATACCATATTGTCAAAGTCTAAAATATGTCACTTCTATTTTGAAAATAAGAACTACTCCGTATTATGATTCCTATTTCAAGAGATTTTTTTTTTAAATTTTAAAACAATCCCACACTTAGATGTAAACCCGACCCATTGGTAAGCACGTGGGCCCTGAGTTTAGGCGTAACCCCTCGTCAAATTTTGTCATACTCCGTATTAAAACTTTGAAATAATTTATTAGCTCAATAACATTCTCAAAATGAAAGGCTTGTATAGTTCATCCAGAAACTTCAAAATCTTATAATGAAAGGCTTGTATAGTCCATCAAGAAACTTAAAAATAACATCTTATCTCAAAAGGTTAGAGGCTCAACCAAGACAGAACAATTAAAGAAGCATGGTATGAAACATTTTACTTTTTCACATTTTTTTAATATACGGTAATTTGTGTAATTGTACAAGATCACAACTCACAAGAACATGCTCATTTGTTTTTTTTTCTTTATGGCACATTGAGAAGAAGAAAAAAAAGTATTCACGTACATAACGCCATTTTTACTATGAGCAAAAGAGTTTTGTTTGTTCTTTGAAGATACCAAATCATGCTGAGCTAAACAATTTCAAGAATGCATTTTGCTGAGGATATATCTGATATTTTACTGAATCTGAGCAATTTCAAGTAAAATTTTATGCAGCGATTGCGGCTTCGAGAAGAAAGGGCAGTGGTCACTCCCTTTGATCTTGAACACTCCTTCTGGAGGATTTTCCCTCACCAGCTTTTCTTGGACATCCGGTGAAAGGGCGTGATCGTCCAATGTTTGGACGTAGAATCTCCGGCCACTTCCGTAGTTTTGGGGAGTCAAAGACAGCTTCTCCATCATTGGACCAAGAGGGATTGGTCTCATTGAAACCCTTGCCAAAGCAATATCCTGAAACCACAAAATAAATGGAACATTTCAGCTCTTATCAAAAACCAAACTGTAGCAAATGGATATCATAATGGACACGAGGAACATTAGAAAAATGGGTTTTTATTTTTACATAAACAAATGTTTTTTTTGTTGGAACTGCACCCTAGACACACACATACACTAGTGACTGACTGACCGTCCCTATTAAACCAAGTTTGGAATGAAATATAGACAAATCTGTGTGGGATTTCAAATGGTGGGTACAGGATCAAATTTAACATCAAAAGAATGCACAACCTTTGCTGGAGATTGATTGAAATATAACCCATGCATCTGCTCCTTTTCAAACATGAAGCCAGTAGCCGGCTTCTCTTTACCATCGCCATGGATCAGAAACTTTGATTCTTGCATGAAAAGTTCTGCAGACCCAAGCTGCAAAAAGAATTCCTTATGAGGCCATGGATACTAAATTGTGAAACTAGTGAAGAAAACTAATAAGACATAAAAAGGCTACAGCTACAAAACAGAACTGTTTGTTTAAATATTCTGAGTAAAGATAAATGAGTGGAATGACTACAATGAATTTGTTTGAGATAACTTAACTCTCCCTCTCTCTCTCTCTCTAGGTGGGGGGTTGTGGTTGTTTGCCTTGGGTTTCATATAAACTATTTTGAAATTTCTATATATTTGTCTTCCATTTGCTAACATTAATATAAAAATCATACTATTGAACCCTTCTTAACCAAATGAGGCGCCTAAGTTAGGAAAGAAAGAGTGATATGAAAATGATTGAAGATTATCCATCAATACCCATTGCAATAATTTTCATGAATCCTTGATAAATAAAGAAGTATAGCATGTGCACCTCTTCAGCAAACACGTCAAAAGGTCTCTGTCCATCAGACACCATTGTACCGCAAATGAATACTGCTTTATCAATCTTGTGAGAAAGATGCTCCAATGCATAGGAAATGCAAGCACCTCCAGCACTGTGACCAGCCAAAATCACCTGTGAGAATGCACGTTACATGATATACTTATTAACGATGTTGTAATTCTTATTTCACAGTTGTCACAGGCAATGATAATCTCTGACAGAGCATAGCATGAAAGATAAATATACAACGCACTCGCAAAAAAAGGTCCTTACCTTTTCATCCTCTGGTAAGCTTTTGAGATAATCGAGCAATGGCTTTGAGTAGTCTTCCAATGTTTTGACATTGTTTGTATCAGTCAGATCAATGCCAGATCCGGTAAGGTCCAAACCGATAGGAGCCAATCCTGTTTCCTCCAATAAGGCAATAGTTTTATACCAACACCAGGCACCAAATCCTTCCCCATGTATCAAAACAAACCTCTTTGTTTTTATGCTCTCCAAAAATTCCGCGGACTATGCCAAACATGATTGATTATATACAAAAATACACAATAAGTTGCTTTGTAATTTCCGGGAAGAAGAATATTTAAGGAGCCAAAATTGACTGCACACAAAATAGTACTCAACTACTTGTATTCAGTTAATAATTATTATTATATGCTCACCATTTCAAGGTATCAGGTATATCTATCTGGTGTGTCTCTGTGCTCTTTCTTCCTTTTTTATTTCACTCAAAGTTTTTAGTATTTACACATATTTTTCATATGCAGTTCTCTGTCTGTATATAATTATACGCACGTAGAAGAAATCTAAGAAAACACTGCAACTCCGCAAGGCATGTTATGAAAAGACAGTCTTCTCAAACCATTGACTTTTATATTAAGCAGAATAAATTGCATTCCCTGTGCATTAAAGGTCAGGAAAATATACATATTCATTTGCAGTGTCTATTAGGAGAGGAATAAAGTAGATGAGACTATGAGAAGCATAACAAAGTAGAACAAAACCATCTTAAGATTATGGAAATGAGGACACTAAACAAGACATATAAAGAGATATGATACCACCCTTCGGTTTTTTATATTTTACGTCTTTAGTGTTCAATAGAATAAATAGAAGCAATATTTGTGGCGAGAGGAAAAGGTATGCATCTATATAGCAGGAAAGCAATTCAAATTGATAATAGCATTTAGCAATTTGGCTCCTACAAAACCACCACACTACATACGTAGAAGCATAGAGGTCAATGCAATGACATTTAAGAGAGTATCCCAAGAACTATCAAGTGCCAAGTGGATCTGGGTGAAGTTCAGAAATATGGTGTGCGGTGAAGAATGAATGAAGAATCACCATAAGGGACACTCAAAAAGGAAAGAAAACAAAGAATCAAAACCATGACATAAGTGCTTTCAAAAGATATCAAGAATCACCAAAACAGTTACCGTAAGCATTTTGAACGATATAAACTTACTTTTGACTTTTTTTTTAGTACATTTAGGGCAATTGAGTTAAAAAGTTTCCAGTTAAAAATACAACCAAATTTCAGTTCAGTAACCTCAGTCGAAAAGTTGGCTGCTTGATCCTTAATTTTCAAAGAGGATCTGGGTAAAATTCAGAGATGTGGGGTGATGTGATAAATGAATGAAAACCACCCTAAAGAACCAGAACCATGACATCATAAGTAGTTTCCCAAGACATCATTAATCATCACATCAGTTACCATAAGCATTTTGAACAATAAAGATTACGTTAATTCTTACTTCTTTTCAGTACATTTAAGGAAATTCAGTTAAAAACTTTCCAGATAAAATCACAAAAACCTGTCAGTTTAGTAACCTCAGTTGAAAAGAACAGACTCAAAAAAGGACAAATTTCTTCACTTTCAATTTCTGTTTGAATTTTAGAAATGTTGACTGCTCGCTCGATCCTTACTTTTCAAACAAAAAGAGCATCTTCCTGCTTTTTTTCATTTTTAACTTGCCTCGCCATGATTAATCATATCTTCTTGCTTTTTCATTTTTACTGCTTAGTACTTGGAGATGCAAAGAGTACAGGATTTCAGGTTACCTGCTTGGCGGCGGCAGGAAAAGACTCGGACGGATCGTTACGGCGGCGAGAGCTGGTGGATCCAATCCGGCGGGACATGGAGGCGTCGAATCTCTGAGACAACTGGTGCTGCTGAATTGCCATAGACAGAGCTTGCCTGTGGAGCAACTCTTCCTCCATCACCGACCTCCGCTTGGATCTATCCGCCCTCTTGCTCCGGGACCCCACGGCGCTGTTGCTCCGTCCATTCTCCCGGCCGGAATCCTTCTTCGTCATGCGTAAAAGTCGGTTCCCCATTTTCCTGGTCCCAGTTTGGAACTGAACAATCCCCAGATTCCACCTTCTCCCAAGGCACTTTTCTTTGATTGGGAGTATTAATGTATGCTATCATCCACAAAAAAGTAGTCGAATTATAAATCAACAGCGCACACCGCACAAGAACAGGCAACACCTGAACACGTTAATGGGGGATTTATATTATAGGTATGCTTTAAGGCGTCGTCTTCAAGACTTCCCAACTCCCCATTCTTCCTTCTCTTTCTACATCTGTGTATGAATTAATTAATGTTTTAGAAAGAGAAATGGGTTTTGTCTTCTACTATAGAGTTTCAACCCTTGGGGTCATGGGGTGCGTGGGTTTCCGTGAAATCTGACCACGTTCTTGCCCTCTTCCAGATGGTGAAGAAACGAAGGAAGTGGAAACTTTGACTTCCATTTTCCCCATCTTTTTCACTGTGACTTTTCCTCCGTTTGGATCGTTCTGCCGCATGCATTTTGTAATTGTCCCAATATATTCGATATGTTTTTTTTATCCTGAACATATTCCATCCCAATATCAAATGGGACATGAGCAGGAGTGCTTAAATTATACCGATCCGTCTTGTTTGTCCTGTTTCATCTACTCTACTAATATATAACATTTCATTCGTCCCATAATCTTTTACCCATTTTGATCAACGTGCAAAACCTTGTGATTTTTAAAATGATCTTATTTACAAATCGGTAAAGAGATACAAAATAAAAAATTATATTTAAAAACTACATCGAAAACTCTACACAACAAAAGGTGACAAGAATATTTTATTTTAGCAAATGATTAAGGAAATCACGCAAACAAATAAGAATTATAGAGAGACCGTAATAGTAAATAGGTAAAACATTATGGGACGGAGGGAGTATTAATTCTAGTCCAAAATCTAAATACACTCTTTTTTTAATTAATTAGTTATTTAATTAAGTTAACTTCATGGACTTGAAATTTATTTGGACCCATTCCACTCATTGTTTTTTTGTTGGATGCCTAGATGTAGGACTGTGCATTATTCGGTCCAAACCCGGACCGACCCGAAACCCGGCCAAAACCGGACCGGGCCGGTCCTTATTCGGTCCGGTCTTCGGTCCTCACATTTCCTTTATTCGGGTTCCGGTCCGGTCCGGTCCGGTCCACCGGGTTTCGGTCCGGACCGGTGGACCGGTTACATTTTATTTTTTTTAATTTTAGTTTCTATAAAGGTTTGTAATATAGTTTTTTTAAGTTTTTTTCTTATACTTAAAATTACTTTTACTTTAATACTAAAGGTTTTTCAAATGTTTTGATTTTATTATGCAATATAATTTTTTTTATAAATATTCCAATTCAAAATAAGATACCAATTCTAATGATATTTAAATATTTTTAACATTGAAAGTATGAAAAAGTAAATATTACCTTTGTATTAGCGATCTAATGCATTTCAAATTTATGTATCAATACTATAACTTATATTTGTACTTTATCACTAATAAAACTCTAATAAAAAACATTGTAAACAACATCATGAATAAAAATAGTAAAAAATGTATCCTTTGCCAAAATAAACCGAAAACACAAAAAAATTATAAAAAGTAAAAACCAATAAGAAGAAAAATATTCCATTTTAAAATAAAAATTATAAACAAATTTTATGCAATTTGAATAGAGGATATTTATTTTTTTTAAGTTTTTAAAAAATTAAAAACATCAATATTTGAAAATGTTTAGTGTATGTTATACATTAAAAATTAATTGTAGTAATATTTTTATACAATTGAATAGTTTAAATTAAATAAACAAAATCAAATTAAAAAACCACATTAATTCGGTCCAGTCCCGGTCCGGTCCGGGTTTTACCGGTCCGGTCCCGGGCCGGTCCTTATCTAAATCGGTCCGGTCCTCGGTTCACAAAATCTCTCTTATTCGGTCCCGGTCCGGTCCCGGTCCGGTCCGGTCCAGTCCGGGTTTGACCCGATGAACACCCCTACCTAGATGCTTCTTTTTTTGAATGGAATGTCACCCTCTTCCCTTTCTTATATTTGCGATTAGGACAAAGTAAGACGACCTGAATCCGTCCTGGTTTATTCCGATCTCGAATTTTATGGGACAAACCGGGATAAGATTGTAATCCGAACCGTTTTGGACCATTTATATAGAACTCAGACCGTCCCGATCTGTGCCCACCTCTAGTTGACACTTGTACTATTTAAACTTTTTTCATCAACGATTTTTTTATGGAGCATGCTACATGTACCCCAAAATTTGTACCACACTTATACACCAAACCAAAAGTATGCACCAACATTTTGATGGTTCACATTGACACAAAGTATTGGTACGTTAACAAAAATTTACACTGACACAAAATGTTGGTGCGTTAACAAAAACTAGCATTACACCAATACAAAATGTTGGTACATCTCTGCATTGTACAAAATGGAGTACAAATTCTTGAGGTACAAATAGCATTATCCTTTTTTTATTTACACTCTTTCCATATTTTTCAAAGGATTAAGATATTTGCACCCTAAGATTTTTATCTCAATTTGTATATTGTAGGTTTGCACCTTATTTTGTCTCAGTGTAATGCTAGAGTGATAGTTTACATAGACACAAAATGTCAGTGTAAATTTTTTGCACCTTAAATTGTTTGCACCTTAACAAAAATGTTCTCACTGATAATAGTTTGCACCTTTGCCATCACTAGTCATTATGGACATTATTAAGTATTACTTAGGGAAGAAAACAATCTAAGTGCTATTGAGAGTAATGACTTGAGTTTTAGTGCTATTTAGTGCAAATATTTCTTATATTAATTCATCTCTTCTAGTAGGGCCTTTGAATGTGCTTGCAAAGTGAGTCCATATTAGTCTTGCCTTGCATCCATGTAGAAGAGTGTGATCTTTCGTTGCTGATTCTGTCCTACAGCTTAGATACATGCTGGGTAAGTTAAATCCAATCTTGTTAAGGTTATTGTCAAATGGTAGTATGTGAGACAAAAGCTTCCACTGAAACAATCTGATTTTGGAAATCTGGGTGTTGTTCCAAGCATATTTAAATAAGAAGAAAGGAATATATTTTCATATATTCCCGTATGTTCATGCATATATTATTTCGGTAGTTTTCCATTGTATATTTGATTTCTTTCCTTTTGCAATTAGTTCCAAAAATTAACATACATTACATCTATCTCAAATTCAACATTCACTTTTTGTTACTTAGAATAATTTTTTGAAAAGTTCAAAAAGAAAACCCCAAAAAAATAATATGGAAAAACGAAATGAAAAAATAAAATACACAAAAAAAGTCTTCTATAAAAAATAATTTTCGAACATGCCTAAAAGAGTCCTTAGAATTGAGATGTCCGAAAAAGATATTAATTTTTATTTTTATATAATTTTGTTTCTTAATTTATTCATCAATTTTTTGAAATTCTCAAAAAAATTTACTTTTTTTTTAAAAAAAAATGTTAATTTGAGACATACAGATGCATTATATGTTAGTTTTTTCAAACAAAAACTTTAAATTTTAAGAGCATAATAAAAATAATTTAAAAAAAACCTTTATTAATAAATGAAACAAATAAAGAAAAAATGGAAAAAACAAAAAAATCAGAGAAATAAAAATTCAACACTGGTACACCTATGGTTTCGAAAATATGCACCAATGCCCCCTTCTTCGCCAAGAAAATGGCCAAAAAAGAATCAGAGGAGGCTCGAATGCAGCGTTTTGAAAGCACAAGGACTTTAGAAATAAGTTTTAAAAAAGAAGGGGTATTAGTGCCTATTTTGCAAACCACGAGAGTATTGGTACTATTTGGCCATTACTATGAACACCATAGAGAAAAAAAATGAGTTTTTTCCCTTTTCTTCTGGATATTACCCATATGGCCAAATGTGGAGGTTTTCTTTGTTCCAAATTGGTCACATCACAATATTTTTTAATTATTATGATCACTTTATTCATTAACTAGCATTATAATGATACAGAGTACTTTATAAAAAACATACTCCATTTTATACTAGTAGTTCATTATCATAATTAAGCGTTGAAGTATGAAAACAAAATAATACTGGTATATTAATATCATGCAAGTACTACGCGTTTGTGACTCGCTTTTAACAAGAAAAACAAGCCTTTGGGGGTTCACACGTCATTGATAAAGAAAATATGAGAAAAATTAAGCTTCTAAAAGCTCATTGTCCTGATAACTAGCTGTAGGGAGAACTGTTCTAACCATTACTATTAGAAAGTATCATATATATATATATATATATATATATATATATATATATATATATATATATATATATATATAGGGTGATTAAGTTTTACAAGGAGAACCTAAATGGGCTAATACATAAACTTTACATAATGAAGAACATAATACATATTTTTTCTAGACAATAACACACAATTTGTAATTTATTTCAACACCAATAAATTTTTCAAGGGAGTCTATTTTACACTCTCCGCCCCAAAATTCAATTTCTAATTTGACTTTACACATATGTAGATATCTAAGTTGTTCGATTATCAGTGAGTAATAATTTGGAATTGTACCGTGAAAGAAATTGAGAAGATTTTTGAGCATCCAAAGCAATGAACTTTTCAGAACCAAGAAAGTAAAATTATGCCCCGGACTGTTACACAATTGTGTTAACAATATGACTAAAATTACTGGATGTGATACTTGATTGACCAAAATTGCTTCGGGGACATATTTCAGGGGCCTAACTTTACGAATGTCTAACTCGAAAGACCGAAAGTAATTTTGGTCATACTTCATAGGCCAAAACTGGTTATTTTCCCTACCCAATTGTCAATGCCACATGCTTTTAGATCCATATTTCCCTTAAACATGCAAAAATATATTATACGGAGTAAGAAACGCAACAGGACTAATACGCAGTGTTAACCAAAGAGTATTACATATTCTCCTTTGCTTATCAACTCCAGCAGGAGGGGAAGTAAGAAACAAATGAAAACCAAGAGGGCACCACACAAAACAAAGCCAACATCATACCATAGCATTAATGATCGTGACTTGAAATTGCTACGGCACATTTTGATCCGTATTTTGGATTGCAGCTTAATGTTCAACCTGTAACAGTTGCAAGTGAGATTTAAAAGAGGGTGTGTTCCAAACAATGCAAACATTAATAAGTGACTCATTAAAGCATCGACACCAACCTCCCCCACCAGAAATAGGTTGAACAAATAACTCATTTGTGAACATAAAAAATAAAAAAAGACCCAACACTTCAACCTGTGACCATAAACAATGAAAATGAAAGGTTTAACAATTGGGACACCTCCACAAAATTAGTGCCCAATATCTCCGGTTTAGTTCAATACCTTGGTTGAGCATAGAAGCATACATTAACGTTGAGACACATGGTCTAGTTTAATACGGAGTACTATATTGTGCCAGGTCTCAATATCTGATGATATTTTCCAGCCCATAGAATTGTTCTACAGAGATCTCAACATATTGGTAAAAAGCAACTTCCTTGAAATCGTAGTGCATCTTGAAGGTCGCTTAATAACATAATTTGATTTAATCTTCATTAGATAAATTTAACATCATTCCGAATTACGGACAGAGAATTTGCATAAAGATTATGGATACTCAGGAAAAAAAAATTAGAAAAGACTTCTGTTGAGTTAATAATCTTAGTATACGCTTTATAGTACTTTTCCCAGCAAAGTTAGATATTCCACGAGGTGCAAAATAACAGTTCAAAGAGGATGGTAGGCTAGCAACAAGCATGTCATGTATAGAGTGGCAGTAACAAAGTGAAATTGAAAAAAAACAAAACAAAACAAAGCCTACTACTCTAAAACACAACTTTTAATTAAAAAAAATGAGAAATACATCAATTCATGAGAAAGTTATACGTATCCATATCAGCTAATTCAAGAATAGACTCAGGTCCATCAAAGTTCCAACCCCTACTCGCTAAATGAAAATGACGAAACACATGCAGACAACTTAAATACCTCCCCTACATTTGGATACAATAAAAATATGATGTAAGATTACCTTAGAAGCATCAGGCAGATGAGGTCCATGATCTGCAAACTTGTGAGAGCATTCTATGTAAGCAGATCCAAGAGCCGCTCCAGCACCAAAAGCTACAGCTGACCAGCGTGTTGCGGGAGTTCCTAAATAAAAATTAGTTTAGGTCTACTATGTGCCAAGACACCATCTAAACCGTAGAAAAATAAACATAAAAAGATGACATGCAATGAAAAACAGCTGATATGATCACTACTACCATACAAGAGTAAAAGACCCAAATTAACACTTGTTTTCAAAATTTAGAATAAAAAAATAAATCTTGTTGAATGTCAGGCACAAAGGCAACATATCAGATATACTAGTGTTCAGTAACAAATGCATAATTGCTTATAATGATGTATAGATACTACATTAGGAAGAGAGAATAATCCCATGCAGCATATTTAATTAAGTACTAAGTATAGTTATTGACACCATTAAGAATAGTAACAAGGTTGTCAAATCGAGATCCAACTCTCCAAGTCATGAATCATATCACAGACTTTGTGAATCACAAAATCATAGCATATTATGAATCGTAAGATACATGATGAATAAAAATATACTTTTTATTTTAGTAAAAACAGATGGCATACGCCAAAAAACGCAAGTTGAAACATCATATATTTGACCTTCAGAGTTCAAAGCATTTTCCAGTTCTCTAATGGAGAGCCTAGAAGTATGGCATAATGGCATCCTCCTAATGATGTCATATTTCTAATGGTATTAGTGTGACTTAGAATTATTATTAGTTCCTATTAGTACTATATGTATATGTATGTGTGTGTGTGTGTGTGTGTGTGTGTATATACACTTTGGGTCCATCTTTTGGGTTTGGCCTCGACGAACAAAAAAATACTGTATACTGATTCTTGCCTATAAGCTGAGATTATTTACTCTCCTATATATTGGAAGAACTTTGATCATCCAATAAAAAATGCAATGTATATTAATAGAAAACTGATTTCACCTCATTTATATTGCAAAAAATTAAAAAATGTTATTCCATCGTATTAATATGCAATGCAAAATTTTTATTTTATTGATGATTAAAGTTCAGTGACTTTGACTAAAAAAAATCAAACAAGATGAATACTTTGGGGCAGAGGGTGTATTTCACATGCATATCTAAAGCAAAACTGTACATTAAGGCCTTTCTATCGCTCTCCCTCTTACTATCTGAACAGTCGTCTTCCTCACTGCAGAAAGTTTTGTCAACCGTTGATCTCTTTCTATCTTGAGCCACGGTGTGAGGTTGGTAAGGAGGAGGCAGCAGTGCAGGTCGATGGCAGACAATAGATTTTGGCAGATCCAAGAAAGTCTTCAGTTCCACCCCCACCCCACCCTCCCCTTCATCCAAAAGGCAACTCCAGCCCCAACCTCTGACCTAACTCCCAACCCGGAACCCAGGCCCACAACCCTTACCCTGCCGTCAACAAAAATTCTCCATCCCGGAACCCTCTCTATCGCTCAACCAACGCCACCCCCCGCCCAGATCCCGACACATCTGAGCTCCAGCCCTGACCTTAGACCTTTAAGTCTTCAACCTACCTCACAGACCAGAACCCAGATCCACAACCCTAACATCTCCCTCAGTCCAAACCCTCCATCCCGGAACCCTCTCTAGCGCTAAACCCATATCCTCCCTCCAAAATCTCATCTCCCAACCCAAGCCTGACCCCAGTCCAACCACTATAGTACCAAACCAACGCATTGCTTAGCCAAAATGTACGACCCTCTCCTGCCCAACAAAACCAACTTGGTGGCATTACTTTTTTTGTTTATCTGTATTTTAGTAGCCACTTTTTTAAAATCATTTTTGCTATTTATTTATTACTGAGCGAGACCCTTAGTTCCCCAGCCCCATCTTGCGCCTTGTTTTATTTTTGTTGGCTAGACCCCTATCTGTTGTTTTATTAGATATCATATGTATTTGATGTTTTGCTAATCCCTTTACTCCCTTATCACTTTTGGCTCTGCCTTTTGTTAGTTTTGGGGCCTTTGTTCTTGCCTACTAAATCTTATAGTTAATTAGTAATTTATTTTTATACTTGATTATTTATATGTCAATGTATTTGCTTCTGTTTTTCTATATATGGTCAGTAGTCGGCGCCTTTCTTGTGTTTTGCCTCTTTGTGGTGTGGCGTGAGAGGGTAATGTGGCTTGGCTAGATACGGTGAAGCAAGTTCATACCTTTGGTTGGGAAAGGAGGTGGGGAGGCGGGAAAGAAAAGTGCCTTTCTTGAAAATGAATAATAGATATGAGGGTGAGACATGACGATAAGTATTCCGAAAATCAAGTCAGATTCATGCCTTGTCAGTCAACCACATAGGTCATTCACCTCTTGAAGAGGCGGCTGGTTGGAAATATAGGGATAGGAAGAAAGATCTTCACATTGTGTTTATTGACTTGGAAAAGATGTTTAATATAGTTCTTAGGGAATTACATAAAATTGCTTAGAGTACAGAGGGGTGTTGGTAGCTTACATCTATGTCGTTACTTGTTAAGGACATGAACGTTGGGGACTTGGGGCGAGGACAAAGGTAAAGTTGATAAAAGGCGACTCATATAACTTCTGAGTAGAGATGGATTTTCATATAGCCTCCAAGTAGAGATGGGTTTTCATATAGCTTCCTAGTAGAGATGGGTTTGCATCAAGGTCTACTCTTAGTCTTTCCTACTTTGCTTTGTGATGGATGTTTTAATGCATTATATCCAGCGGGAGGTACCTTTGTTCATGCTCGGTGAGCTATTTGCCTTTGCGACGAATGAAAATTCTTCCTATTTGCCTTCGTGGCGGATGACATTGTTTTGATTGACAAGAAAAGATAGATGCAATGATAGGTCGGAGGTATGGAGACAAACCTTGGAATCCAAAGGTTTCATATTGAGCAAGTCTAAGACTAAGTATGTAGAATGTTGTTTTAGTGGTTTGACAACTGACTTAAGAGTGGAACTAAAGGTTAATAAATATCCCATACCTAAAAGCAAGGTTGAAAAACTTAAGATCCTAGCTAGGATCAAAAGCGGGGTAGTAGATTGTAACATGGTTGTTAAGTCGAAAAGTCAAGTCGAGTCGGTGAAGAGAAGACTAGTGGATTAGTCGACTAGTCGGCCTACTAGTCGTAGACTAGTCAACAAATCACAATTAGTATTGAAATTTTTAACATTACACACACACACACACACATCTTCGTTGACCCAAGATAACTATATGTATTTATATGACAAAATATCATTACCAAAACAAAATTATGTTTAAAGGTAGCACATAAAAGTCACATAATGAAGGGTACATAAGAAAAAAATATCCTTCAATCTTCAAAAACCACATACCACCAAAGATAATATGCACCCAATGTTATGCCATCATGACGATTTTCTTCCATTGTGGAAGATGGCGATGAAAGAGACGTCGAGATTTGAGAAGGGTTAAAGTCGACTGTGATTGTGCTGTGAACCGAGGGAGGCGATGTTTTATAGAGTTTTTTTTTTTAAATTTAATGAAATTTGGGCCAGGTCGGATCGGGTTGGGTCAAATTAGGTAGGTTTTTGTCAGTAACTAGTTGTTGCTTAAGCTCGACTAGTCGTCGCTTTCCTCGCCCTGACGACCAGTCCACGGTCCACCTAAGTGGCTAGTCGAGATGCAAGTCACCACTCAGAAAACGACCGGACGACTAGTCGGCGACTAGTCGTCGATTAGTCGACGACTAGTCGTCGATTAGTCGACGACTTGATAACAATGGATCGTAAATCGGAGATCATAACTCGAATCGTAAAATCCTAGACTCATATAGTTAATAGATAAAAATTTATAAAATGTACGTCTATATAATAACTTAATTTTAAACAAAAAGCAGTAACTCCTATGTGTCATAATAAGGAAAAAGCTGTGACCTTACTTGCACAGGATCTGTTCTATAGGGTTGCAGCTCTAAATCCTTTACTCTAAGGAAAAAGTAATACTCCGTAAGTTATGACACATAAAGTTGTAAAAAATGAGTATTTGTATCACTATCCATATAAATATAGAATATGCTTTTACAAATTTATCCAAAGTGTTTAGCTAATAAATGGGAGTGTTAAATTAAAAATAAAAGGAAACTATATATGGTTAAAATTTGAAATTAATAATATTAGTAAAATTCCTTTAAAAATAAAATAAAATAAAAATCCTTTTTTTAAATGTTATTTTAATGGAGGTTTAATATGGAAGACACGCCTTGGTGAATGGTGAATAATATAAGGCTGAGGAAAAAGCCCAATATTGTGATTTTCCTTTCAGTCGGCCCACCCTACAACATTCACGAATAACTGAAGAGGGTAAAAAGAAGCTAAAGACAAAAAGAATAATGAAGATGCGGACGAGGGTCGACAACAGATTCCGCAATCCAACCCGACGTGCATCTCATAGATCAAATCGGTTTGCAATCATGCAGTTCAGCTCGACGATCATAGATAACTCCAATTTTTTCTGATCCTAACAACAATGTATATCGTTCCACCTTTCCCTACTTGGAAGATCAGATGATCTTACGACTCAAGTCGCCATCAAACATGCCTAAAACAGACAATTTTTGGTACCTTGAACACATCATTCAGGCTAATAGAGACATTGATGGGATGTTTATCGTATTGGAGCAGCTTGAAAGAAGTGAAAGCTTTCTTCATGTGTCTTATGTGACAGGAAGATATCAATAGAACTAAAAGGGAAGTTCTAACGGGCAAAGGTCAAACCGGTTCGGCGGTTATGTTGTACAGAGTGGAGCGCTGGAGAATAAGGGGCTGTTTGGCAACTTCTGAATGGGTAAGTGCTGAAAGTGCTGAACCAGTAAGAGGTCTGAACCATTAAGAGCTAGTATATTGCTTAACTATTCAGAGGCAAATGTCTGATCAATTCAGATAACAGCTCTTAACCATTCAGACTCTGTATAATACTTAACCATTCAGAGGCAAATCTCTTAACCATTCAGACATCTGAACCATTAAGAGGCTGAAACAAACAGTCTGAACCATTAAGTGCTGAATCATTCAGACATCTGAACCATTAAGAGGCTGAAACAAACAGCCCCTAAATAATGGCTAATTGGCTACATTCAAAAGATGAAAGATCTGAATGACGGAGATAAGGATGTTGAGATGGATACATGGTCATACCAAAATGGACAGGGTTCAAAACAAATATATCCGGAGGAGGTGAGAGTAATCTCCGCAGAGGACAAGATGCGTGAAGCATGATTAATATGGTTTAGGCATGTGAAAAGGAGTAATAAGAATGTTCCAGAGAGGAGGTGTAAGATGCTAGAGGTAGATGGAGGGAGGAAGGGTAAGGATGGACCCAAGAAGAGGTAGAACAAGGTGATTACACATGACTTGCGAGCTCATAAGTTAACCAAGAATATGGCCTTAGATAGGAGCTTTTGAAGATCAAGGATTGGGGTGGCGGAGTAGGTTTTGGATAGTTATATGTAGGACTTATTGTTTTATTTTGATATATCTACATGAGTGTTTGTTTCTGTTCTGCTCCTATTCTTTGTCTTTTCTCTTTCCTGGCTTTATCTTGTGTGATTCTTTAGTTTTGAGCCCGGAGTTCTCTCTACTTCTCAACTAGAGGCAAGGTTTGTGTACGCTCACCCCCACCCCACACCCCACTATGTGGATTTTACAGGGCTTGTTGTTGTTGAAATGAAACTATGAAAGTTAACACTCAGTGGCCAATGCGAAAGCAATGTGAGCTATCTGTGGATTCCAACATACAACATTTACAATTATCTTTTAAGATTGGTTGAGAGAAAGTCCATATATTAACCAAAACGTTTGATTTGTGCATTCTAGCATCTTGATGGTTAGGGAAAAGATACTACAAATTGATTCACATAAATGTTTAACCTAAATAACACAGCAAATAGAAATTTAGCAACCACATAGGTTGAGTACATTTTGTAACTACAAAAAATGGTGCAAACTGTGAGCATCAGAATGAAAGGGAAAAAATTCTGACGGATACGGATACTACTGGAAGCTTCAAATATAGCTATTTCGAAGAAGCAAAACTTAAAATTAGCCCGTATAAACAATGCAAAATTCAGAGAAACCACTTTTTCTATTTCTACATCGATTCCCAGAGAGAAACACATATATTTCGAGTCTCGAATTTCGAAGCAACAACACTGAAGAAAATCAATTGCGGGAAAATGCTGGGTGATTGAAGAAACTCACTGAAGCAGACGAGACCACCAACGGCACCGACGAAGGAGAAGAGGGCGCTCCGGCGAAGGGCCAAATCAAGGCAAGCGTCCCACTTGGCGTTAATGTCGTACGCCGGCGGTGATAAGGATTCCTGCTTCTGGTTCTCTTCCGCCATTGCCGCAGCCTAAAACCAAATCGATGCAAGGTACCTTAATGCTCTCTCAAAGTTTTCGAGATCAAAAAGTGAAGTGTGAAACTGGAAGCAAGATGGCCTATTTTCGACCTTCATGGGCTGTTCAAGGTTTTGAAGCCCATATAAGCACACAGTACGGGCTCAGAACTGGTGCGCCCGTATCAAAGACGTGTGTCCACCATTTGTATTACCCGTTGAGATCTTGGTCTCATCGGATCTAAATAGGCATAAAAAAAACTAACAGAACCGGATCGTTAGAATCAGATCAAACTCGGACCGAATAAATTTCAGTGTGGTCTTCAGTCCAAAAAATTTAGGTGTACGGATTTTGATCTGATCTGATCCAAACGCAAAATGATTTATGTTCAGACCGATTGGGCCGAATGGACCTAACAATCCTACTAGACCTAAAAGACCTAAATACTAAACTCTACTTTTTAAGTTCCATATTAGACTTTGATACTTTATTTTAATAGATATCTTAATAATTTATTTAATTAAAAAGGTTTTTTATTAAGTAAATTTTAAAAAAAAATTAAAAATGTTTCCCATTAGTTTTTATTATTCTACATAGAAGTAGTTCATATTGTGTATCTATTTTAATTATTTCTATTTGCACGGTACAAAGTAAAAAGTCTAAAATATATTTAATTTATCAAAATAACTAAAAAATATGTATTTTATTTGGTCCAATTGGACCAAACTGGTTCGGTCCTAAGTATTTTGGTCCGTTCTGGTCCAAATCCAAATAGATTTAGATCAAGTCTTCGATCCGTGATTTTATTTAACACGGTCTTCAGTCCAGTCTTGGACCGGTGAACAGCCCTAGATCTAAATCCTAGGCGGTTGATAATTTTATATTTCATACTCTCTCCTGTTGGGATTTTAAGCGCGTAAGACTCTTAAAATATTAAGGACGTGAAAAATAAATAAACACACTTTAAAAGAAGAAAATTTGAGAGAAAAATTATATCTTCACTATTTTAGAACGATACACAAAAAACTCTCCCTGTTTACAATCGCTAAATACCAGACACTAATAAAAAGACTTTTTACACTCTATGCTTGGATGTATTTTTCCGAGTAACTAAATAATAGTTACTCTCCACACTCACTCACACAACCTTGGTGATATCTTGTGTAGCACTTCCCTCTTCACTCTCCTTCTCTCTCTTAGCCGTGTGTGAAAACCCACCAACTCATTCATTGCACGATGCTCTATGTTTTATAGCCAAACAGGAATCATTTAATGTAAGAGAACGTCAACAAAAGCATGCTATATTATAAATGGTCACCAATCTCAATGGTCACCTATCTCAACCGAAAGCAAGATCACCAAAATCAACACATTTGATTTCCTTTTGTTTTTTTCTTTTTTTCGATTTAATTAATCAATCTCAACAAACTCCACCTTGATTAATTAATCAAACCATGGTCTGGCTCCACCCCGCTCGTTCTGACGAGCCCATATTTTCCACCAACTGGAGAAGCTCCAAACGTCACCCACTTCTTCCATGCAAATGGTCCGCTTGCTGTACTTGTAATTTTTCCTTGTGACAGCTTCTATGTCAAATCTTTTCCTACAAGTTTATACAAGCCCTTTGACAAAACTCCTTTTGCTACCACCATTACCCCCCTTGAAATTTTTAATACTCCACCTTGAGCAAAAATTTGACAGCCTTCTAAATCTAAAACCCCCAATGAAATCAAATTCCCTTTTAGACCTGGTACATGTTTCACCCCAGTTAATGTTCTCACCACACCATCAAACATGCAAACTTGTACTGTTCCGACCCCCACAATCCTACTCCTTGCACCATTTTCCATCTTGACAGCACCCCCATCACAAGTTTGGTACGTATCAAACCGTTCTCTAACTGAACAGATGTGAAACGAACAACCTGAATCTAATATCCAATCCGATTTACCTAGACTCTTTGCAGTTTCCAAAAGCAAGTCTTCTTCACTTGCTTGGTTCGAACTTTCCGCAACTGCAGTCACAGGTATTTTCCCATCCTTCTCTATAACACCCTAATCCGTCCACGTCTGCAGCCCCTTTACAAAACCTTTTTATTTATCACAATAATATTTTTCATAACATAAACAATACGGAGTTTTCAATATTGCGGATGCTTAACAAATTATAATCATAAACATGATTTATTTATGTTCTTCAATTTAAACCATCACATCCATTCCAACAATCTCGCCTTCGTCTGCCCCCAAAATCATGTCACATCATTCTTTCTATTAACCTGCGTGAAGGAAATAAAACATATTACACGCTCAGCGTTACGTTGAAGCTGAGTAAGCATATTTAATGCGTCGAACATCCATATAAACTGAATGTAAATTCATATTCAATCATTTGATATCATGCACATAATGTTCTATTCAATATTCATCATTCATGATTTTGACATTGTTCAGTTTATACCCGTACATGTTATTTAATTCAGATATTCATTATTTTAATAGTGCTTTTAAATTATTCTTAATCTAAGGCCAATGATAATAACAATGCTCTTAGCTATTCTTAGTCTAAGGCCAAATCATAACAATGTTCTTAGTTATTCTTAGTCTAAGGCTAAATCCATATTTTCATAATCACACTCTTAAAGAGCAATCAATAACTAGATGCTTAAGCTATAATTAGTTTGAGGCAATTGACAACTAGATGCTTAAACTATGATCAGTTTAAGGCAACATATTTCCTGATGCTTAACTGTAGTCAGTTAAGGCAATTAATTTTCAGACAATTAACTGTAGTGAGTTAAGGCAATCCAATTCGTGACGCTTAAACTATAATTAGTTTAACGTAATACATTTCCAGATGCTTAACTGTAATTAGTTAAGGCAACAACAGAATATCGATTAATCATCGTCGGATCGAGGTATATCTTAGAGTTCTTCTATATATCCTTAACAACACACATTATTTTCTTGTTCTTCAATTTATTCATTTTGAATAATGGCTCATTAATTCAAAATCATCATTTAATTCAAGATAGTCAAGCAAACATATATATTCACGATTTCATTCTTACGGTTTATTCATTCATTACCATACTTTATTATTTTTTCAGAATAGGATCGTTAGCGTTATGTAGTCATAATCACTCGGGTCGTCAATTTGATCATCATAATCAATATTTATTACCAACGACATTTCATTATGGTTTATCCATTTAATCATTTAATCATAATATTACCAAGGTTTAATCATTGTAAATTCATAAGTCGTTTTGGGTTAGTTCTTTTTTTTCTTTTTTAGGCATTTTTAATATTTTTAGAATTTAATTTTTAGTCTTTTAGCTTAGTTTTATTTTAATTCTTATTTTTACAATCTTTTATTTTTTTCATAAATAATACTCTGGAGTAGTTTTTAATCACTTTTTTTTACAATTTATTATTATCATTATTTCTAACCTAAGTTAGCAGATATCTTATTTTTTGAAGAAAAGAGTAGCAAAAGGCCAAAATAGAGTTCAAGTTTGAAAAGAAGATATTGATATTGGACTGGAGCCCAAACCCACAACAATCCACCACTCCTCCATTGTCCAGCGCACACAAGGAAAAGAAAAAAGATCGGCTCCATCTTCTTCGATCGCAAGAACGGACAAACTAAAAGACGCTCCAATGTTCAAGATAATTAATCATTCAATGAGCAAAAATTCAACGGTAAAAAGCCCTTATTGATTGTGAATTAAAGTTTCAAAATGGTAGGAGGAAAACTGGGGGAATCTTACGGAAATAAAGCAGCGGCCAAGCCGCTGCAATGGTGGCGACCGGCGATGACGACGGTGGCTTTCGGCAGCAGCTCCGGCGATGGTGGTAGGCGGTTCCTTCAAGGTCCATTTTCTTTAATTTCATCTTTTTCTTCAACAAATTGGTAACTCTTATTTGTCAATATCTTTTTTTCTCCAAATTCTTTGTAAAAATGTTGTTTCAATCTAAATTTACACTTTTTTTGCTTGTTGTGTTAATTTCAAAAATTCTAGAATATGGTTGGTGTTCCTTTATGGGCTTTTTTATGTTTATATTAAATCTCTTATGAATGAGTATTGATTCATACTAGTTTTCTTCAATTTTTGTGCAAATTGTTGTCGAATTGTGCAAATTGTTGTCGAATTAGCTCCATATTATAGTTAAATTATTTCTGAATTCATACGTGATTCTTCGTTGTGCTATGTGTATTATAAAATTTTAAGGTTTATGGACTTCTTAGCCCCATAAGTTGAACATTTTCCTTAAAATTTGTTATAGAGTAATTGTTATGTCGTGTGTTTGTTTGTTGATTTTCATAACATTTAAGGTTGTTTAAGCACAATTTTTTTCAAGTTTTTGAAAATATGTAATGTTTTCTTATGTAAATAGATTACAATTCTTATGCTTGAGTTGTTCAAAGAGACCTGCAAAATATTTTCATCATTAGAGGTTAAAGCTTATTAAAGTGTATAAAATGTTCTTTATGGATAAATTATGCATGGGAGTTAGAATGAAAGAAAGATTCGTTCTTTTATAAACTTTTTCATCTTTTAGAATCACTGTTTCAGCGCTAGAGGTGAGTTGGGGTTCAAATTGACCCAAAAGGCTTTTGAATTATATGACTCCGAGCCTTATAGAGAGTTGACGATCCTCTATATGTAGTCAAGGATATGATTCAACTCGAGTCTTTGAACTATTTTCTATTCTTAAGTGCGTAAGTTACGTAATATATTGTCTACGTGTTTATCCTACGTGCAATGTTTGACTTGTGTTTGTTCTTTTTTCATTTTGTTTCGGGTTCTTGGCGGTGTTTCTCGGGTTACCTAAGTTGGAGAAGTTGATTTTTAATTTGAGCTTCTTTTCCCCCATTTTATCAAAAAAATCAAAAAAATAAAAATAAAAAAAAAACCAAAAAATATTTACTTTTTATCCAACACCCCCTTAGTATTTTAAGTAATTGTATAAGTTTATATTTAATAAGTTTATATTATAATTGTTTGTTTATAAGTTATAAATATAAGTTTTATACTTTTTTAGTATATCTTAAATATGTGTTTTGTTTTTATAAGTTATATTATAAGTTCTTTATGTATATAAGGTATTTATAACTTCTTATATTTATTTTATTATAAGTTTTATAAGTGTTATCAAATGTGTAGTACTTAGTTTGTTGTGTTTAGTGACAATGTGTGTGCATGCTAATTTGATTTCAAAAGTACAAATTTTCTCCGTGGGATCGACCCTTACTTGCCCTTGCTATAGTTTTTATTTGATTATATCTTGGGGGTTAGTTAAAGTTATTTATGAAATTTTTAATTTGTTTTGAACTGCACGACAGGTCTTCAACATAAATATTCAATAATAATCATCAAAACATTCATTAACAAATAGCGGCCTAGCGTCGAGTGTTAACACTCTAGCTTAGCGTCATGCATCAAAAAAAGGCTTTTTAATCTGTTTAAAACATCATTTTATTTCCAGAAATCATTGATCATAATTGATTGGTGTCAAGAATAGGATTTAATAGTTCAAAAATTAGATTTTCTGGAAAAATATTGCATCAGACGGTACCCTTCATGGTACCTCGGTACTAGCTAACAGTACCTCAGTACCTTGCCGATGGTACAGGGTACCGCCGGTCATCAGGTACCACCAGAGAGGCTTCGGTCGACGCTAGCATCCCTACCGTCCCGACGGTAGGTTGGTACCGTTTGGACGGTACCTAGCTACCGTACTGGTGGTAGGGTGCTACCATGCACTGTTCATCGTCTTCTTCCTTGGGTCCATTTTCGGAAATTTCATTTTTAGTCACCTTACTTCAATTAAACAATATGGAAATGTTCTCCAATGTTCATAGATCATTTGGGTATCATTAGTTCATAGTTTTAACAACAATTTCAAGGTTTTTGATTCTTGGTTCTTCAAACATGTCAAATACAAAACTCAACCAAACGACCGTTTATGAGCGTAGAAACAATCTATACGAACATTCTAGTCAGTAGATATATCTACGAGCTTACCTCAAAGCCTAATGAAGGTTTTGGAAATTTTCCAGTGAAATTTCCGGCGAACACCACAGCTTGCTCCAGCGACTTCACACCAAATTGACAGCACCACTGCGCTCTCCTCACTTAGAGCAACAGAATAAGAAGAAATATTGTGAGAAATGGTGAAAATGGAGGGAGTTGTGGTAGCCTTATATAGGCGGAAGATGGAGATGATGCCAAGCATGATACGTAGGATTTGCGTAAGGATCAATTTGCAATCGGCTGTGTGGTGGAGGAGGCGTCGTTCCCTGATTGGGACCAATTTTGGTTTCAGTTGGGCTACACTTTTCGGTCCAACTTTCTCCGAATTGAATTCCGTTTACGCCGTTGTGATCAGACAGTCGAATTCTATTCAACGATATACTTTTCATAATTATTTGTTATACTCTTTCTGACATCATATTTTTGGGTGTTTGACTTTGACAGAGTCTAAATTGACTCTATTGACCTTTATCATAAAAGGTTCCCACATTTAATTTATATTACTTATTCTTATGATTTATTTTCAATAAATAACTTTAAGGTTCATATCATAAATAACTTCTCCATTTACTCTTAGTTTTGTTATGTACTCTGGTTCCTAATTAAGACCACACATAAAGTCAACATATTGGATTATCTCTACTAGTATCACACCCGTGCGTTGCACGGGTCGCAATTACGTTGTAAATTTACATTGGTATCATTATAAAAGGAAAGAAATTCAACATATAATAAAATATAATATTTTTTAGTATTGTAAACCACGAATATCTATAAATTACAACTTTTGAAAAGCCTCTTTATAAACTACATTAGTGGTACATTTTGTTGAGACATCCATTGCGTTGCAAATAAGAATTTTCATTCCATTACGATTTGTTACCCTTGAAACCGCAACATATAATTGTCCATGACTAAATACAGGTTTCTGTTAGACACTATAGTAATATTCCTAGTTATAGTAGAATTGTATTATAGTTAGTTACCATATTAGAAGAATCCTAATCCTAATTGTGTTAGGATCTCTAGCTATATATACTCACATGTATTCACCTCTATTGCTTAAGTAAAATCCATTAATTCATATTAATTCAACATGGTATCGGAGCTTCACGATCCACCTCTCTGTCTCATGGGTTAACGCAAGCAGAAGGAAAAAAAAATTCTTCACGCATAGGGTTTCTCAGCCGCAACACTTTTTTGTTCGGCAGTACCTTCCTCTCAGCCGCAGCACTATCTTCGGCGGCAGCACCTTCATGTCTCTCAGCAGCATCTCCTTCTTCAGCCCCAACATCTTCTTTGGCAGTCACCATGGCTCCCACAACAGCTGATCCGATGGATCACCTCCCCACTGGCCTCAAGCTATTCGTACGGAATCTCCAATCTCTTACTCCGGCGAAACTTGATGATTCAAACTATCCCTCTTGGTCAGCAACTATTCGCGCTAATCTTATGGCTCATCGTCTTCTCGGTTACGTGGATGGAACGGAACCGGCACCTCCCTCTCTTCTCCTTGACGAAAAAGCTGTTACCTCCGGCAAGGAAGATCCACCCGTCATGAAGGCAAATCCAGCCTATGAGACGTGGCTGATTGTCGATGCCCAGATCCGTGCATGTTTATTGGCCATCGTCTCCCACACTGTTCAAACGCACATCCATTCTCTTCCCACGTCTGCAGCTATATGGACTCACCTTGAGCAACGGTATAATTCTCTATCTCGCACCCATATTTTTCAGTTGAAAGAACGTCTCCATAGTCTTCAAAAAGGGAGTGATTCCATGCAAACCTATCTTGACAATGTCTTGAATATTGTTTCCTCCCTTACTCTGGCTCATGAGCATATCTCGGACCAAGACGTCATCCTTTGCATACTCCGTGGACTGCCAGCGGATTATAGTTCTCTGAAACAGAACATTCGAACCAATATTGGGAAT